CCGAGGCTACCTATCTCCTTCTCGAGAGACCCTTCCTCCTTTCTACTCAGATTAAGGGATTTGTGACTCGTATTGTTGTCACTTCTCTGTATGAGGACTACTTCTCGTCCCAACTCGTTTTCCACCCTAACGAATATAATGCGAATATAGTAAACATAGATATATAATCACGAGGTCATGACTGGTGTTAGCCAGTCATTTACCACATGTAAGCAAGGCTGCGTAAAGCCTCGCTTACGTTTGGTGAATTTGGGGAGCGAACATGTTTATTTTCGTTTATGCTCACGCTATCTCAAAACCGGGGAACGGGACAAGTAACGGCTGCTGCTGTTCAAATGGTCGTCTTGCAGGGACGACTGTTTGTTGGCAAGCCTTCATTGAATGTACATTAAAATGCTGAGCAAGTGTCCATTCAAAATTTGAAGATAAAAATAAAAAATAGGGATAGGCACATGTGAGGTCATCATTTTGACATATATATGTACTGTGCATATTTTTCCAGATGTTTCAAATTTTGGGGGTGGGTGCTTAGTGGGGAATGGGTGGATACACGGTATCCTGCGGTAAGTGCGCAGTTTCCACTGCAATGTTTGTTCCCAGCACTGAGGCACCCTAATGCATAAGGAAACCGTCATCTGATCCAAACCACCGGGACTTTGTTCCTACGGTGTTTGCACACAAGTTGCCACTCAAGAGAAATTTATTGACAAAAACCATGAAAGTATGAGGTGCAAAGATATACTAATGGCATAAACAAGGACAAAATTATACACAGGATAACTGATAGGCTAGCACTAGGAGATATATGACGTAGCTGGAGGCCTCACCGCTAAAAACAGCCGAAAGGCCGGTTCCGCGGCAGAAGCACTGATATTGTGATAATCACAGTGGCAGCACGCCCCCCAAGGATTAGGTGTTGGGAGCAGGTACTGATGAAATCTATGTGCCAGCACTTTAGGAACCCCTCCTCGAGGGGAAAAAAGGGCGCCCTCGAGGTGTTAAAGCAGAAGGGAATGCAGCGGGCTAGGCATTGGGAACATACACCCAAATGGATGCCCCCGGGCGACAGCAGTATTCCAATTTTCCCACAAAATAAAGCAGGTGGCTGCAAACTCAAGTCTGGAGCTGCAGTGGCGTGCACGGAAGTGTCTGCCTTGTGGGAGTGCAAACATGCGGCTGACCAGTGTCCAAAATGTTCGGGCAATGACACAGTCAAACAGAATGTGTACATTTGTCTCTGGAGCACCGCAGTTGGAGCACAGTTTGGATGCCGAGAAACCGCACTGTGCGAGGCGATCCTTGGTGGGCAGGACACCCCAACCGAGCCTCCGGTGAACATCCACCACGGCTACGGGGAGGTCTGGGGACAGGGCACATGCCAGGCGGTAGTGCGGCTCTGCACCTGGTGGAGGAAGGGGACCTCTGGTGCACAGAGAGCCTCGTAGAGACACAAAACCGGTGTGTCGAGGACATCAGAATCCGGTACGTTGGCCATGAGCTGCTGGGGCAGAGGTTTCCAAGCCCCCAAGGCACCAAGATACGCCGGTGAGTGCCGAGCCAGTAATAGCCGATTCACACGACGGACCAAATCGCGATTTTCGTCCGCGGACCGTGTGCCACGTGACCGGCACGTCACCGATTCCTGCGATCCGCGCCTCCTCCGCGGAGGCGCGGACTGATAAAGTCGAGCGCCTTTTTCACTCGCGGACGTTTGGCGGCAGACTGACTTGGAAAGCATTTAGTCTGGCAACGGTACATGGTTTTCTTGGTATTTTGCTTCTGTGCGTTCAAAACAAAAATGGCGCGTCGTTGCGATTTGTGCGTTTGTTGGTTCATTTCGTCGTACGATTCTTGGTTCCACGCGTGAGAGAAACTCCAGAAACTTTGTCCGGCTGACGCGACGCAGGTTCCGGTGCTCCTCCGGGTCCGTGGCAAGAAGCTCCCGTCAAAACTAGTCAAGCACGCCGCGATAATTCTTGCACGTCCAATCAGGATTTCACCGAGCAAGCCCTCTCTTGTGGATGTGGTGTGCTTGAGTGTTGTGCACGAGAGCGGAGTGTGTGAAGGCATCTCCAAACGCCACTCCGCGAGCCCAGAAGTTCGTCGCGTCTACGCCGAAGCTTTCTCGGGCAGGATCATGCCTGTGTCACTGTCATGCTTTGGGTTAGTAAAGTTAGTGACGCTTCGCGCGAAGCCTGTCCCGGTGTTTTGTTCTCGATCTGTACGTAGCAGCGGCGTACGATTCTTTATCGCGGTAGCAACCGTCGATTTCTCTCTTGGACAACGGTGCTACTGTGCGATGTTGGAGTTTCGCGGCACTGTGGGGTGCGAACAGGTTCGGTCCGTCCTCACTGGCGTCTGCTCGTCGTCTCCCTCGTGTGGATGCGCTTGGGAGACGGACGAACCGCGGATATGTCGTCACGTGATCAATCCGTCCGCGGATCAGTCCGTCGTGTGAATCGGCTATAAAGGACGAGGCTGCAACCAGGGTAGTTGGACGATCCCAGCATCTCCAAGAAACTGAGAAGTGCAAGGAGTTGACTAAACATTACCAGACACGACAGTCCCCAACCCCCGACAATGCGAGGGAGACAAAGAGCCTGCCGAACTACAAGCTCCGTGCGCTGCCTCCAGAAAAATGGAAAGACTTCGAAGTCGAGGTGGCAAGCAATGGCTGCAGGCAGATGTGCAACGCGCACCACAAACCAGAGTTTGGCACAGAGTATGGACTTCATTATGTGTGTGCGGCCCCGCAAGGGGAGTGAAAAACGAGACACCAACGTAGCATGGTGCGCTACGCCTCCAACAATACCGGCCCAAGTGTCTGACAACACACCGGAGTAGTCGGAAAGGACGCCAGGGCCCGGACAGCTACAGTCATCAAGGTGCGGCCTAAAAGCGGGTCAGAAAAACTGCTAAAAAGGAGAGCCTTTCTCTTTTACATGTTCAGCTGGGCCCTCGAAAGGGGCATGCTCCTCGTACAGTCGAAATATAGCAATAAGGCTGTCTGAGTTCCGTATAAACAGCGAGACATAGTCCGCATAGCCTGAGACCTTCAAAGATTAAGGAGTTGGGCAGCTCCTATTGTGAGCACAGACACAGGAAACATGCTAAACTCTGCTGGGAGAAAGCTGGTGTTGTCTTCACAGTTCATACTCTCAGATAACTTAAACAACTTCCTAAGCATAATGTGCTTCAACCCAGCAGTGAACCGTAACACGGTTGGGTTGTCGTTACAATCCCAAAAAGGTTCTTGAGCGGGTTCTGCTGCAATCTGCAGGTCAAGAGGGGCTCAAAGATCTTGGTGGAGTTCGCCCCAAAGGGGGAGAACAGTCTTGGTTGTAACCTGCCATCCTTTGATGGTGTGGGGTTGCCGTCTGTCCGCAGAACCAAACCTCCAACTTTCTGTCCAAGGCAGGCACTGCTCAAGAAAGGAGGCATGTTTGGACTGCTTTTTGATTGCATAATGCAGCTTGTCTCCCAGTGACTTGACAACCGAGCTGTTTAAGCAATCAGAAGAGCTTGTCCATCCTTTCGAGGAAGTCAACTGTTGGTTTGGCTGCAGGTGGCAATTCCTTGATGGCAAGGAGTCAAGATTTCCACAGCAACTGACTCACGCATCACCTGTGTGGCATACCTGACTCATGTCAGTGAAAGGCTTCTGATAAATATGTTTTTCTGTTATTTTTTTTGCCAAACTGGATTTTAGATAATAATTAGGTGCAGCAGTGTTGTCAGGAGAAGTGTCATGAGTCATTTTGAACAGTGTTTTAATGTAAGTCCAGTCAGTAGAGTCTGATCCAATTTGCAATTTGTGAGCACGAAGGTTATTTCTTGTGCACTTCATCAGGTGTGGCATCTCATAGAGGAAATAAACTTTCGTGCCTTTGTCTTCAAAGAATGGCTCATCGGTTTTCACATTTAGCAGGCCAGCCAAGCTGACATTGTTTGCCCCTTGATCGCAGATAATAGCTTTGACAGTAATACCTGCTTCTTGCAGCTGTCGCCAATCAAGAGCGCCCGAGTAGCAGATGAATTTGTCTGCCTTTTCGAAATGGCAAAAGCCACAGGTTGCACCCAGTTCTTCACAATACCAGAGGGGAGTATCACCAGTGCCGTACTGCCCACAGCTTTGGTCCTTCTGGTGCCGTCATCTTCGAAGACAATTACGACATCATGTGCAATGTCATACTGCAGATGCCTCCTCAGGGAAATATCGTCGAACATTAAAGAACATACCCGATCAGTGGACTGCCAATTGTGAGTTATACTTTTGAGCTTAGGGCACAAGTCATTAATCCTGGTTTCATGGAAATAGATGACAGCCACCTTCTGAGGGAACTTTCCGTGGGCAGCTCATACACTCAAGATACAGGACCCTGTAGGCCTTTGGCCCGTGAAAGTAAAGGTTCACAGCAAACTACGTTATCTCCTCGGACCACCTCCTTCTTTTTTTTGCTCAGAGATCTGAGCTGCACCTGGGCCGATAGCAATTTAAAAAGTTCTTTGGAGACATAGTCTTTAATGTTAATCAGGGCTTCGCATCTGGACACCTTTTTGGAACCTTCCATTCCTCAAAGCCTTTCGATACCTGTCGCTTGCGCTCCAAGGTTTTGTCAGTCATCTCTGTGTTTGGAAGGTGAAGACTCGCCTCCTCCGCCCAGCCTTCTTTAGAGCTACCTTAGGAGTCGTATGGCCCCCTTGGGAAGGACACCAGCCAGCACGAAGATATTGGACAAATAATGGACAAATATCGGTCAAAGTTCTTGAAGAAATAACGGTCCTCTAATGATTTGCACCCCAGCTCCAGATCGGTCCGATAACATGAACCGATCACGAAAGTTTTGTGACCAATATCGCCAACTGTTTTCTGGCCGTCATTTAAACCGTTTTACAGCCGTCTTTCGGATTGTTTTGTGGCCGTTATCGTTCCACCATTTTGAGATCGAAATGGCCATTGTTGAAATACGTAAGAATGTGAATGACTATGACATCAAATGTGAAGTCTTTTATTTTTAACTGTTTATGGACGCATTTCGGGGGGAATCTGATCTGTCCGACCACCTTCGACTTGGACAAGGGGTTTCGGAGGGAATTGGTTGTGAGTGCGAGGCCCAGAAGCATGAGGGGGGCTGCTAGCGCTCCCAACATGGTGAGAACTGCAGGCTCCACCATCCTTGTGTCGGCCACTCTGAAGGCCGCCAGACTGGCAACTGCCAACTAGGGTACGATGGGAGTCGGAGAAGGATCTGCCCTTGGGGGCGGCCCGCAGCTGTCGCCCTCCTTCCTTATCGGGCGCAGATGTTAGCCACTTTGACAGAGCCCTTTCTATGTCCCGAGTTCTGTTCGGTGGTTCTTGTTCCTTGTTCTTGTCCCCTCCTCTTGGGTGGCGAAGCCTGGCACAGGCAACCGCTGTAAAAATAGCCGCAAAGAAATACAAGAAAGGCTTCACTCGCGAAGCATTTTATTGATGGCATAACCATTATCGAGTGTTGGGCACGAAAGTAATCCCAAGGTGACAAACAAATAACTTCTGAAATGGTACATGTTAGCAAATTAAACCATCAATGCGATGAGTACAAGGAATCCTAAAGTCAGCTGAGCAATGTAGCTTCCAAAACAGTGTGTGTAAAAGCGCACTAATTTTAACCCTATTGTAAGCTAACTTTTAATGCCACTTCTCTATAATTAAGTTTTAGCAACATAAAATAAAAGTATTCTTCAAGATAGGTGATTATAAAAATAATTTAATGGAAATATTACGATTGGCCGGAGTGCGTCCACAGCTGCTGCAGATGCAATGCCTTCCATGTGAGGAAAGGTGAGCAGAAGTATAAACAGTGCCATCGATGCCCTATCTCGAAAGTTGTGTGCAGTGCTGGGAAGGGCACAGGCTCACAACTGTTAATAGAGGTGGTTTGCACTTCCTCTTCTGCAGCTAAAGCATTGCCCAGGCTTGTACACATGTGCCAGTGGGGTTTTTAGTACTGCCTACAACTTCTGATGTAGGAAAAACAAAGTGCCTAATTACACTGTACTGGGGCAGACTGTAGCAGTGTTGCTCAACTTTTTGTGACAACGTTTGCATTGGAGGAATGTGAAATGCTGTGAGAGCCACAATAGTTTTAAAAACTTGTGTAACAGTAGCACACTTGAAAAGTCGCAGTAGAAAAGTGAGGACAACATATGTAACAATGTTTAGTTTTTAAAAGAGGGCTAGAAGATTACCACTTTGAACATGTATATGCAAATTTGAACATGTTTGGGCTCAACTACCCTATTTCTTGCAAAACTGTAATATTGTGGATGTTAGGAAATAAATCGTTGATACATCGCACACGTAGTGCAAAGCCTGCAGTTCTCTGCCAAGAAGAAACGCTAGCTTTTATTGCCATCTTAAATGAGCGGAATACAGCTGAGGTGCTCGGTGAGGGCGGCCCCCATCCTAGCCTTGCCTAGTATGACTTGCGCATCCGAGGGAGTCCTTAAAGGCTTCGGCGCAAACACGAACGACGCAGCTCCTACCTCGGTGCCGTTCCTGCAGCTGTGCCGGAGCCTTTCGACCTCGAGGTCCGGTCTCGGTTGGCGAGGTTTGGTGAGGCGCGTTGGCGTCCTCAAAGAACGCCTCACGAGTGGTTGGAAACGGTCTCGCTCGATAAGGCGTGCGCACACACGTCACATCTGGTCAAGAGTGGCCAGGCGGCCCGGCCCAGAGCCCAAAACACATGGGTTTTGATATTTCTTCCGTCTCGTGACTTCTTGCACAACATCGAAGACGGAAGGCACAATCTTTATGCTTGCTGAAAGCATCGAAAGGCCTTCACGTGCGATGCACCGGAAAACGTGGTCACGCGGCGCGGCTGATGCTGGAAATGCGCATTCATGTAAACATTGCCGCGTCTGTTTCATTCAAAGGACGATTGGAGTCTATGCGCTGAAGTCGCATTCATGTAAACGTGGCTAGGGCGATTGGGATAATTAATTTAATGTAAACATTTAGTGCGTGAATATTTTTTTTGACATGTGAATGCTAACTTCACAAGAGCAATCGTCTTCTCAAAAATTTGGTACCCACCGTATTGCTCCCACTTGTTACAATAAAAATCAATTTGGTATAATCACATAATTAGCGAGAATATTTTGAAAACCTTTTGTATAATTTGAGATTTTCGTAAATTGAAACAGCTGTTTCTTTTGCTAGTTTATTGACGTTGGTAGCAAAATACTGGAAATGATCATAAACGTCTAAACAATAACCTTCTTTGGCAAATTGGTCTCAGGAGCCCAAGAAAAAATTTGGAGAAAAAAAATAAATATACCTAGCACATCATACATTTTTTTGGTTTACTGCAGTGGTATGGCAAATTTCCTACTTTGTTGTATTTTTAAATTGTTTGTTTGTGCTTCGCTCTTTCTATAAAATTTGCATGAGGTGCCTCTGATATATATTTTTCTACGATATAACGCACATTTTAGACACTACAGAATTTGCCGTAATATTGAAACAAAAGGAGCACCCATACAAACCCTTTAACTGCTTGATGACTTGGAGCATTGGTCGTGTAACTGCTTCGGTGGATGAGACGGGGGCTGTTATGTATGAACATAAGGTCCTTCCCGTCTCGGGATGTCGCCATGTTAGTCTGTTAGGGGCAAGCTCCATCACTTCTAGGACAAAATGCTTCGCAAATATGTTTATCATCAGCTTCACACCGAACCACAGGAACGTCAAAATTTGGAATATTTTTCGGACTAGTGGCGGTAGCTCAGGGATGATACAATGAACTGGCCAGAGTGATTTGGTTGAGCTTTTGAACACCTGCACAACATCAATGTTCTGCAGGAGTGAGAAGTTGAATCTGGACGAATCAGCAGGCTGTTCTTGATATCTAAAGCTGTCGACAATATCCTTAACTGGCTTGTCACATGTACTGCCGGAGGTTTTGCGGAAGTAGGCGTGTATTCTGTTGTCTTCAAGAAATGATCCTAGTGTGTCGGCTGAACTCATTTGTTTTAAAAGTTCCCTCGCTCCAGCAGGCCTGATCACAAGTTGGACAGACGGTCGCTTCCTCGGCTGGGTATGTTTCACAGTTAAGACAATAAAAGTGGTTACAAACTCCTTTTCCCCTCTGGAATTGTGAGAGGAGCTTAAAAAATTGTTGTGTCTGGAAGTGTGTTAGAAGACTAGCATTGCCGAGAAACCGGAGAGGATTTGGCCCAAACATTTCCTCGTTAGTCGAAACTTAAAAAAATACTACGAGAATTAGACAAGCCTCGGTGTTGGTGAAACGGCTGCCTTCCTACAGCAGACACTGATCAGGGTGATGGTATTCGGAAGTAACTGTACCGCCGTCCTCCGCTGAACTGTCCTCAGTGTCTGAGTTGGCGCAGTTGAACTTGCCAATCTTGCTCTTGGAACATGAAGCAGGGGGGCTTGATGAACAAGCTTGTCCACTGGAGTGTTGGCGAGATGTATACCTGCTGTGACTGAGACCCTCAGCTGATCCATGGTCAAGGAGTCTTTTGGTAGTGTGACTTGGGGCTTTTTCCCTCCGTTATTGGCAAAATACTCCGAAAGATAAGCCTTTGACCTTGCTGCAGGTGGGATTTAGAAATTGACTTTCTTTCCTTTGTCTTCATCTTCAATAAAAAACATTGGAGATATTTTCTTCATGATGATGATCTAGAACTTTGCAGAAAATCAGGCTCTGTTGAGTAGAGTTGTCTAAACACCTCAAACAATGTAATTCCCCAAAATAATTTAATTGAGGAGTGCAGCCACCCGAGACAGTTATCCATGCAAGACAAAAATGAAGCACATGGTGCTCTTGGTACAGCCAATGACAAGATATTGTTAAAGGAAACGGGGCAACAGAACTGTTAAGTTCCTGTGTGTTTGTAGCTAGAAATCACCAAAATTTTCTTCAGTTGATTAACTCGTCAGGAACTGTTGCAATTGTAAAATCAAACTACAAGGTTGTTCTAAAGGCCTATAGACCAGACAACAAATCTGTAAGTAACTTGTTCATTTCATCTGTATGGCGTAGCGTTTTGCACCGAGGACTAGCTTGGCACCATTATAAGTAAACTGTGAAGTTGGCTTACCGGCAGTTTTCCATCCGTCTAGTACCTCTTGTATGGGCCTCGTCTCCTGCTTGGGTTCATCTTGGTGCAACAGCGGTGTCAGGAGGGGCCCCCTTGATTCCTAAAATATGAAGCATGCAAGAGAATTACAGATTTCTGGCATACCTTTCAATATGAATTGTGATTCAGGAGGCATACCAAAGACAATTTTGGCATGCAGTTCATATAGCTTATGTGCAGTTCCTTAATTCTGTTATTGGTAGAACATGAAATATGATGTACTACAGCATATTTTTGTGTTACCACATCCTCACTTTACCAAAAGTGTTAGTGGCAAATATTTGAAGCTGTCTACAACTGCCAAATTCATGCACACTTCTCTGGGGTTTATGAAGCACTGAAATATACCAAGAGAATGTTTTGCAGTACAGAAGCAAGGGGTAAGGGTCCACGCGCGTAACCTTGTTGAGGTCGCAGTAGTCTACCACAAAACGATAGGAAGCATCGGGCTTTTCCTCGAGGAAAGGGAGGCGCGGAATTTTCGATAATGCCTTTATTGAGCAGCTCGTCCACTTGCCTCTCCATCTCCTCTCTTTTAGAGTATGGGATCCGGTAGGGGCTCTGCTGTAGACTGGCGCAGCCCCCGCCGTCGAGATTTGATGTCTCACGGTCTCACAACGACCGATGTCCGCTCTAAAGAGCGCATCCCGGTACTCGTCGATGAGCTCCAGGAGTCGGTTTTTTTCTTCGATTGTAATATGAAAAAAATCAAATTGGCTCAAGAGGTTCATCTCATCTGCCCAATTGCACTCCCCCGCTTCAAGCATTGTGGAAGTTACCTCCTCCGCTTCCACGAGAGTTCCCACGACCTTGTTCCGAGTGAGGTGTAATTCCTGGCCCATGACGTTCACAAGCTGCACTGGGACCATCCCGTCACTCCCTGTCCTGCCCAGCGCGTGAGCTCCTGATACGCCATTCACCCCGAGGTCGTGTATTTCGAGCACCGCGGGTCTCCCTGGTACGCTGACGGTACTTAACCTTCCCTCAAGAAGACATTCGCTCAAAGGCGGCAGCACACACTGTCTCAAGAGAGTCACCGCTACATAGGTGTCTCCCCCCTTGTGTAGTCTGGCTGAACGCCACTGTCTGTCCGTGGGGACGAATTGATGATGTTCAGCCTTGATTTGCCGATGTGCAAAACACCCTCGCTGAGGAGCAAATCGATGTCCTCAGCGCGGAGGACGTCTTGACCGAAAATTCCCGCAACAGGTAGCATAAGCCTGTTCGTGCAAACAAACCGTGCAGGTCTAATCTCGAGCCCACCCAGTGTCAACGGAACCTCGAAGCATCCAATGGTGCCACGCTCGTCTCCTGTGATCCCCACGAGCTTGCCCCCTCTGTTTTGCCTAGGGAGAACATTTTGCCAGTCGTTCACAATAGCATCCAGTATGCTTTTTTTTACTGGGCTTATATTCGATCCATTGTCGAGGAGGCAGTGAACCTTGGTCCCCCCGATTTCGCATTCATCAGTTTGGCACGTTTCCCCGCAAACGTTGAGGCCCCTCCCCACGGTCCTTCTCCATGGAGTTACGCCGATCGACTTGTTCGTCATACTGGCGGTTGGGGCATGGTCGGGCGAAGTGGCCAGGCGTCCCGCAAACAACAGTTCCCTTTGCCTCTTTGGGACGCAGTTGGCAGTATGTTCGCTCGATTTGCCTCAGCGGCGACGCTGAGAGATAAGCTGCGCTTCATAAGCCTCTCAAGGTGGTCTAATCGCTCGTGCAGTTCATCTACAACCCGGTCAGACGCCCAAACTTGTCGTACAACAAGCTCTGCGCCCCCGTTCACATGTTCGTGCCGCTCTTCTTTTGCCGCGACTTGCACTGCTTCGCCAAACGTCACCAGGTTTCGTGACAGAGTAAACCTCCTAACAGGGTCTCTTAGGCCCCCAACAAACTGAGATGGCATCTGTTCTTGAAGCAGCTGCTTCCTCATTGCCCGTTTTTCAGCGGCGCCCTCTGACGCGTGTTTTCCCAGGGTAGCATTTCTCAACGCACTCAGTCGCCCAGCAGACACCCGCACATTCTCCCCAACATTCTGTTTCGCTGTTAAGAATTTTGGAAGTTTCACATTCTGGGGCTCAGTGTCAAAACGTTCAAGAGCCAAGGCCTTAAAGGGGTACTCCGCCGATTTCTTCATGGTCCCTGATTTGCTTGAAATTTTGCTAAACTCGCCAAACAACATCGCCAAAATAGTATCCCAAATATTAGGTCAAAATAATTTTTTTTCACGAAGTTATTGAATTTGCAATTTTGGTCCTCACCGTGTTTTTCAAACTGAAAGTCTCTACTGGCAACAATGAAAAAGTGACGTCAGTGGAAGCGCTGCGGTTCACTCTTTGGACTGTAGAATTTGTTCCCAACTGATTCGAAGCAGTTTCATGGAATCAAATGAATGCTTTGGAAGCTCGCTCCAGTCCCCGCGCTCCAGCACAGAACAAATGATTGGCATATTCTATTTCTTAGACTGCTTGCCCGACTGGCAAGCTTAACCTTCCACTGACGTCACGGCCCTGAAAAGGGCGGGTATATTTGAATGTTTGTTTTTGCATCATTTTCATTTGCCCATTTCGCAATAACTATTATGAATTTCACGATACTAAATAATATACCAGAAAGGGTAAAGGCCGGGGAGTCAGAAAATATAGTTAGTTGAGGTAGCTCAAAAATCGGCGGAGTACCCCTTTAAACGCCGTAAAGGTTGTGATGGCAGCAACACTCTCGTCGTGCCATGCGAAGGCGTACGCAACCCCGACCATCTTACAGCGAGCAATTCCAATGAGCTGGCTATCTTGCCAGCTCATGCTACCTACTTGTTCCAAAATTCGGAAGAAATCTCTGATGAACACTGTGGTTTCATCGCCCATGAACGAAGGAACCATACCCCCAGTGCCAACATGTCTGAGTCATTGTCTCGCCTCTTCTCTCGGGTGCGGGCAGAAAAGTCTCACCAACGCCTCAGCGATTTAAATTAGTGGATCCCACCACTGCCACCACTTGTGACGACCCCCGTAGGGGAGGCCCAGACGCGCTGTGGTGGGCCCACTCTGAGGTGGGGAGAAACGAGGCAAAAACGATATCTCCGATTACAGTTTAATAATAGTGCTGGAAGTAGGTGCTGGTGCCGCCTGCAGCTCACCGAGCATCTAGGAGTTCTGGAGGTAGTGTCCCGGGCTATCCCTCCCTGGCGGTGCCTGGGCGATGTTGCTGCGGGGCTCACTGGGCTCGGGAGCTGGGATCGTTGGCGCCAGCGGGTGGCCTTGCCCTGGGTGTGGTTTGGGGTTCGGAGGGCTCGGGAGCTTGGGGCGCTGACACCGGTCTTTGTCTTGTGCACTCTTTTTCCCGCGCTCTGCAGCGTGCTTCCTGGCCCCTTTTCTCGTGCGCCTCCCCTCAAAGGTGGAGAAGATCCGCAAGGGTCTCTCAGCTGAGGGCCTGAAGGCAGTCAACATGCTAATTGACACCTACGGGATCGTCAGCACCACCGATGTTGCGCCATTAAAACCCAAAATCAATCAATCAGCACCACTGGAGAGCCCTTATGGCCACCTTCCACCGGATGGTGGCTGTCTTCTCCAGCGTGGCTATGGACTTTGCCAGCTTGATGACCTTGGGCCCAGTTTCCTACATGACGATGACCAGCGCCGTGCCCAACTAACCCCGCTGCCTGATGTGTGCAGGCTTCCCAAGCCTTATACCAGCCTAGGACCAGGATTACTCAATGGTGATGATGTGCGCGTACCTCTTCTACCAACTGGAGGTTTCTCTGGTCTTAAACCCTTAGTTCAAGAAGCTCTCCCACCACGAGCAAAAGAGAGTCGTGGAGGGGTTTGCCGGAGCTGCCATGCAGTCCACCTACTGCTCAGAGGAGCAACGAGTGCGCCAGATTCATTGCCACCCCCTGCGGTCTCTTTGTCCCAGACACCAGAGTTGGCTTGGCCATCAAAGACGCTGCCTCTGCGTACCGCCGGTACTAAAACTGCCCTTTTCAGGGTCTGTTTCCTCTACCGGCGGGCGGTAAAGGGTGAGCTACCTACCAAGTGATCCTGATGACAAGACCTCCTCATCAGTACAAAAAGGCAACAAAGGCGTAGTCCACTGGGGGACTAAGCCCAAAGCAGCTATTGTGCTGAATTGCAGTTTTCTTTTATGTGGTCTGCAATGTTTGAAGGCGTTTGTTTTACTTTGTGACTTTCTAGATGCGACAGTCACCTCGCAGCTGAGCAATGAATTAACAGAGTGATCGATCCAATGGGGGGACAGTGCCCAAACACACTCCTTGTGCTGGTCACCCCGGCGCCAAGAAAACGAGGCAAAGAGTAGCGACACGCTACTTTTGGCGGGGCATGAGACGGGACATTGTGGACTGCTGCAGGGCTTGCCGGTCGTGCAGTTTGTGGGAGATGTCAAAAAGCCGGAGACTGGCTCCCAACCAGGAGTTTGGGCAACTCACCAATCCGTTTGAACGCACCGCGATGGACATTGTTGGCCCGATGCCTGTCTCCATGGCCGGTAATAAGTACATTCTCGTCTTTGTGGACCACCTGACACGGTTTGCGGAGGCATTCCCGATGCCTGATCGAAAAGCGGAGACAGTCGCTGGAATGTTCGTTGAGAGTGTTGTGCTGCGTCACGGCATGCCCAAACAACTCTTGAGTGACCAGGGTGTGAACTTCATGTCACGGCTCACTGGGGATCGCAAAGTTGCAGATGACCGCATATCACCCAGAATGTAACGGGGCTATAGAAAGACTCAATGAAACCGTCATCAAAACGCTCGGGCACTTCGTGGCACAGGACCAGCGCGATTGGGACCAATGGCTTCCATTTGCACTGTTCGCCTACAACACCGCAGTCCACGAGGGGACGAGGGAGTCGCCTTTCTTCCTGCTCTACGGAAGAGATGCGGTGGTACCCAGCCTGGCCTGCATGGAGCCCACGACAAACTACGGTACTCTCGACAATCACATAGCCGAGCTCGTGCAGTGCCTGTCTGTCGCACGGAATGGCGTCGGATGCGCTCGTTCAGGCGGCAGCGGCAAGAAAAACACGCCATGACAAAGTT